GTGTGTGTGTGTGTGTGGAGTGCGGCTGTACTGTACAGTCTCTTGACTCATCTCAAAACTTAGCAAAGACTCCAGGTCTTTCTATTATTTTCCTCCAGAGTCCTCTTCTTTACTTGTTTTTTTTTTTTTGAACATTCATGACTTGCAGTCACAAAGTTTTGGGTTAAGGGTGAATTCTTTGCTCAAACTGAAACATTTTCACTTTGTGTCTTAACTTTACTGTGTGAGAGAATTTGCATCTCATCACAAGTCCAGTAAAGTTTTCCTCATCTTCAGTCTGAATAAAACTTTGTAATCATAAAACAGGGAGATGAATAATCAGGTTTCTCCTAGACATGATCAAAACCAGGATAGTAGTGAGCACATAAACAGGCCCAATGTGATTATTGTACCTACAGCTGTAGTGAAAAAACATTGTAAGGCACTGAGTCATCTTCAGATTTCACGTGGAATAGCAGTGTCCCTCAGTCTTCCTCCTGTGTCTCTCTGTACTCACTTTGCTTTTGAATATTTTACATTGTGTGTGCCAGCAATCCGACGGCTCTCACTCGAATATGCTTTGTTCTATTTTGTTTGTTGCGAGTAGCTGCCTGCTTGATGCTGTACTAGCACTGACCCCCTGCTAGAATTATTAAATGGTGTTTCTTTTTTTGGTAGGTACATTTAACTGAATGGAAGCAATCTGGCGATTTAATAATTAATAAGCAAATAACTGTCTGTGTCTGTCCTCAGGTTGAGGCTCTGAGTGATGCAGTCTCTGTTTGGCGGAGGGGAGCTGGGGCTGCTGGGAGGAGGCGGCGATGCAGGAGGCCTGAAGGAGGATGGCTGTGGCAGTGTGGCGTGGCACTCCTCCGCTCTGCCCCCCGACGATGTCTACTCAGCCTCCCACTTTGCCCTTATCACCGCATATCAGGACATCAAGACAAGGCTGGCCTGCCTGGAGCGAGAGAACAGCAGTATCAAGAGGAAGCTCAAGATCTATGAGATCAAGGTGAAGGGTTTTCACTTGCAAAGCCGGATCACAAAGTCAAATATTACAAGACTTTTGCAAACTAATGTTGTTTTTGTCCTTGTTGGTATCAGACAGACGGTCTTCAGTGCCGACAAGGATAAGGCTGGTTTGTTTTTTGATTTATTGGAAGTGTTTAGAAGGGGAGTGAGCAAACCACTCACCCTTAGCATTTTTTATTGAGGCAGTGAGATTGTACACAAAGATAAAAAGAAAAGAAAGCGATGGTGTGCTTTGATCCCGAACCAGCAGGGGAATAAACATGACTTTAAAAGTGGGAAATCATTGTGCTATAACCTGGCAGAAGGGTACTTAAGTTTTAACTCATGTTTAAGTTAAATAACGCTGAGTCACATTGAACATGGCCGTAAGGAGACCTGGTAGCAACAAAGCAAATTGAGGGGCTATGAAAGGGTTTTGCACACATAACCTCATGTTAAACTGAATGAATAGCTCACAGGAGCTAATATAGCTGAGCAAATAGAGTCCTTTAAAATAATGGACCCCATTTACACCTGGTAGTGACATGCAATCTATATATGGATATTGAGGAGAGATTCCTGTTCCTGGAACTCAGTATGCGATAGACCTGTCAACAGACAGGGTATAATCCAGGTCATGTCAAGCGATGTTGCTGTACGGGCTCAATTCGACTTTTGTTGGCTTAATTCATTTACTGACAGGCATTAAGAATAGATAGAAAAAGCCAATCTTCCCACTGATGATCATATACAGGTATCAGTATTAAATTGAGATTGTTTCATAACCAGTTAAACTTCCTGTCGTAGGTTTAACATGTGTGTTTCCTTATCCAGATAAAAATGTCCACATTTTAAAAAAGCAGGTGTAAATGTGGCCCAAATGTCACTGATTTATTTAGAGGCCAGCTGGGCATTGATTGGGGTCGTGAGGATGTACTTCAAGAACTGACCTTATAAAGTCTGTTCAGGGACTCCCACAGCTGAACTGAAAGTGATCAATCATCTTAACGTAATGAGAGGAATGCGAAGATAAGTCCAAACCCAGGTATGACCCATACTGTATACGACACAGCTTTATTTCATTGATTTTATCTTAGGTTTAAACCCACTGATGTTGACATACTGGCTTGATTAATGGCGTCAGTACGTTAGGATTATTGGTGAAATTGATCAGCAGTCAGCAGGGAAATAGTTACTGTGTAGGAAGAATGGTCATGTCAAAGGGCTGCACATAGAGTTCATCAGGGCTCATCCAGTAGGCTCATGAGAGTTCACATAATGGAAACAGTTTTTGAATATGTATTGCTTTTTAACTGTATGCCTAAGGACAAAGTCTACCCTAATCCCAAAGTCAATGAGGCATAGAAGTATGTTTCACTGTTACTCTGGATCTAATATATCTGTATCTAATATGTCTGTGACACTGTAAATATTACTGCATACAGGCCTGTTTGCTCGGCTAGTGGAAATCAGACTGCTTTTCGGGTTGGATGAGAGAGCAGGTGAAGCAGAAATCCACCTCCTAGCAGTAGCTGGGCCAATGGACAGACATACAGGGGGAAGGAAGGGCGAATGAGCGTAAAGGAATAGCGTAGGAGGACAAAAAGCGAGGAAAAAGTGGGGGAAAAAAAGCAGAAAGAGGGAGTTAAATGGGCTGAAGGATGCAGTGCAAGGCAGAAAAAAGGGAGAAGAAATGAGGCAGTAAAAGGAGGTAACGATGTAAAGAGCAAGGGAGAGATAAATGGCTGAAATTAAGAACAAAGAAGGATTAAAGAAAAAAAAATCCACTCCTGGATATTATTTTTATTATCATTAATCTGCGGTGCTTTAGGAATTATACGGTGAAGAGGCTGTAAAGCACCCACTTTCCCCTCAACTTGTGTCACCTAGTTCAGGTACATGAGGACTTTTCAACAAGCTGTGCTGTTTACAGTGCTGCAGAGAGGAGTATCACCAGCTAAGCACATGTTTTGGGGGTTTTTTTTCTCTGAGAATAGAGAGAAGGAAATGCTGGAAATGTCAAAAAGTTATCAAAGAGGTTGCTGTACTTGAAATGCTGACGAAGACAATTCCAAAAAGATGCAAGCTGTTTCAGCATTATGGTCTAGTAGGGATACTGTTGGTACGGAAACTGAAACTCTGGTCCTTCTGTGATTTTGGAGTTGTGTGCTAACTGTAGCTCCAGAAAGCTTTGATTCTGGGAAATTGCATTAAAAGCGGATGATTAGAGCTGCTGTTGATACATTTTGATATGTTTGGTGGCATTTTTTCCTCCAGTGAAGAATAAGAAAGATGGAAATTGATGGAAAGGCACTTTGACTTTCTTCCCCTGATATATGTGTCAGTGCAGAAATCCTGCATCCTTTTAGTGAGCAGCTGGTACAAAAGGCTGCAGGCGGCCACATCGCTGCTGACTTACTCGCCAAGCAGCAGTTTGTTCAGGACTCATTCCCTGAGAGACAGGTGTTGATTTTGGGAGAGCAGGTGTTGGCTGTTTGGAATGAGAGTCACCACACCTGTCCCTCTGTACATACAGCATGTGTCTTTTTCTCTCTTTTTTTAGATTTGGATAATCAATTGAATTAAAATGGACATCACAATACTTATGTGGAAAAAAAGACTTTAGCCCAATTGGAAAATCGCCTTTTTTGTTGAGGAGGTCTAAGTGTTGCTGCAGGCTTTCTCTAAATACAAGATGCCTGGGTACAGCTGCTCTAATGATGCAGATGGGAGTGCTTCCTGCTGCTTTGAACATGGGTTGAAGTGAGGTTTTTCTCTCTAGTTTAGAGATCCTGATGCTCGGCAGTGTGAGAATTCTTTGGGGCCCCTGGGAGTTTTTTGCCCATGTTGCGAACATTTACTGTTAAACTGAGCAGAGAGAGGTGTTCTGCTAAATGGAAAAGGGTTGTTTGCTCCTCAAATAGACGTTGCATCAGTGGCAAATGACTTCACACGGAAAATGAAAAGCCCTCCCTGCTTATGGGCACTCTAAATGTAAATGTGTTCATTTAGGTTAAACCACACACAGTTATATAACTTGTCTTGTGTGTTTATATCATAGGATTCTGCCACCAAACAGCAGTTTAGCATGAAACAAAATGCGTACTTCACAAGTAAAACAGCAGTAAATGTGCAGCGCATTAACATATTCTACAGAATCACGATTGCATAATAAAACATTGCAGCATAATCGTAGCTGCATGTAATGTAATTATTTCTGCATATTTTAAATGTTTTCATGTAATGCTGTTACACTGCAGTTGCCCCTCTGTTTCTCTGTATTATTATATACAGCAGAAAATCTGTTTTCCCCCCTGAATGATTAATATCTGGTAAATATGTTACGTTAGAGGAGGTTGGCAATATTTCTCTTATTGTTAACAAATCCCATAAACACAAACAATGAGTTGATTCTAGTATTGTCTGTGTATCCAAAGCCTGATGTATCTTATTCATCTGTGCCATAGAGCTCCATTGTTGTCCAAAAACTATTAAAAACACATGTGAGTCACACAGTTGTACTGGGTGACATTCATTCATTGCCATAAACAAACACACTGTAGTTTATTTTGACTCAGTCCCACAAACACCGTCCTGCTGCTGTAAATACTCACTAGAGCACAAAAATGCTTATTAATTCTCCATTGAAAATAGTCCTCAACAAAAGCACTATTTCCTCCTGTTTGAATAACACTGGCTAAAAACTACCGCACCCAGCTGTTAAATAAAATTGCTGACCCTTTTTTAAAAATGAAACCACATATTCGTCAGGTGTTTTTAAAGGGTTAGCCTCTGCCTTAAGTAGAAACCAATGGGCTTCAGGCTGAGAGCCACAGTGAAGGTAGGTAAGTCAGGAAGTATCAAGAGACACATTGTTGATGCTCATCTTGTTAACACTAACAAAAGTGTTACATATTACCAGTCTTCTCCTTAAGCCTAGGGGGATTGGAAAGCATGATACAAAGCATCTTGCCCAATGTATACAGTTTTAAAGACACAGTAATTCCACTAAATGTATGTGTGTATGTAATCAGTGCATCTGACATATTGTAAACTGCAGACTTCTCCACGTTTTCATAAAATCCTTTTTGCTGCAGTTTAAATATTGTGCAGGATGTGCAGTTGATTGAAAAATAGCACCCCATTTTGGCTAATGAGTGTAATTTTGCCACAGTGGAGCAATGAGATGTCTCTCTCTTCTGCCATTTGAGAAAATCTGATACGCAATTATCGTGATTGGCATAAAAACACTAAAATTAACATTGTAGCTCCCACTTATGGGCCAGTGGAGTGAATTTTTTGAAAGTTTTATCAAGAAATATGGACAGATGGCCAAACAGCAGTCCAGATTTTATTGTGTGGGATGATATTAGAAAGTATGGTTAAATAACTTGCTATGCAAATTCACAGATTTCGTTTTAGGAGAACTGAAAAATAAAATCTAGTTCATGAGAAGAAAAAAAACATGACTTCAGTTAAAACACCCTTATGCTCTGAGTGATATCTGGGCCAGACAGAAGTTGCAGATGATGCAAGATGAATCTGTAATGATCTCAGTGTGAAATCAGAAAACAGCAGGAGAATGAAATATAAGAACACAAACAAACCAAAATTATAAATAAGCAAAAAGTGTTCATTCACTGGATTAGTTTACTATCTTGTTCTCTACATCCAGTCTCAACCGTATCCTTGTTATGAAATGTCTAATTCTGTGTCTCTATAATGCTTCTTTTTTCTGCAGTTCCCCATGATCAGCGAGTTTGGGGAGAACACTAACTCATACTGCTCCTTTGAGAGCAAAGAGACGGCGCTGCTGCACTCAGAAAATGGCAACCTGCAGCAGAGAGTCAACGTCCTGACCCACGAGGTAAGAGGAGAGATGAGGACAAGATGGGAAGAGACAGAGAAGAAGGAAAAGGGAGGGTGTGGGGGACATGGTAGTGAGGCAAGAGATGGGAAAGGAAGAGGCAGGATGGGATATGTACCAAATTAGAGTATGATCCACTTCTACTATGTATTCATTTTCTTTTCTTTTTTTTTAAACACACTGGATGGAATAAAAACCTTATCACACCAAAGGTTTTTGTCAGTGCTTGAATTCTAGAGAAATCCCTCCCTGCATGTGAATTAATTGAATTAAAAGTGAATTGAGGCCAACCCTGGTGGACATACGCTGAGAGACGTCCAGAACTAATTAAGCACTAAAGCTGCTGTCCAAGCAAAATTACTGAGATTGGATGTTTTTAAGAAACCATCCAAGCAGCACTGTGACATGGGATTTTCACACTGGTGTTCTATTTCTGAGACGCGATATAATTGGGACCAGAACTGGCCAAGATTTTGCTGAATGTGTATGCCTTTAAAAAATAAAGTAGTCTTTTTTCCAACACATCCTGCAGTGTTTGTTCAGATAACACAGCGTGATTTAAAATATAATTCGTGTGGATGCGTACTATTTAACTACCATACTCCAATGCAACTCCTTTCCAGAAATGGGCTGGAGTGAGAGCAGGAGAATGGCCTTAATGTGCTTTAGCTACTCATTCTCATCGCTTGTAACTCTACCGTTTTCTATGACTGTGTGAACGAGAGTGTGGGGAAATAGAAATGAGAAACGACTGACACAGGAAGGCAGTGGTAAAACTGGTAGCAGCAGCGGTAAAAAGGAGCTAGAGAGCAAGAAAGAGGAAGGAAATGCTTTATGGGAGCAGCAGAAACGATTAGCGCGGGACACACAAGGTCACGCGGTGATGAAATGTGCCACGGTTCACTGAGCATGCTCTGTTGGGACAGGCCTGCACACACACACTCACACACACACACCTTATCCTCTTTCTTTTAGTAAAGTGGTGACTTGCAGTTATCGAGGAGAAGTAGAGACAGGCGACATGTTTCCTGTCAGAGACCACATAAGAGGAATTTAAAGGTCGCAAAAAAATGTTTTTCAGATTAAATGTAGATAAAAATGTAACTACACAGTTTCTTCTCACATACTGTCTGAATCAAGTGACAGCTAAGGCTACCAACTGAGCATGGTGTGTGTATATTTCATTTGGAAATACCAATAAAGCACAATATCAATTAACCTTAAAGTGGGTTTGGTTTTATTAATTGATCTTGGGCTCACGAGTCCCTGTGTTAAAATCTATTTTTTATTCCTTCTTTATTTCATTTTTAGCTTATACTTAAATTACACAGCATTCCCAGTAGTAAACAGTTGTTATTCCAGTGACAAACTGTACACATTTCACAGAAAGAGGAACAAACTACTAGTTAATAAGGGCCCAGCACCCTACCAGGTTAATCCAACCATCATGACAACATTAACTCTCCTCTCTCTTTCATTTTGCTTTAATTCTTTAAGTCATTTGGAGGCCAAACATGGTATGAGCAAAAAGTACCACATAAAGAAATAGCTGTCCTGATACAGTTGAACTGAGGCCAAGAACAATAAAGGTATTTCTACATTAAAGGAGAATTTATTACAATGTGGGTCTTTTGTTCACTGTTTTGGAAATCTATACAATAACATTGCATTCACTAAATATTTTCTAGAAGTCTTCTGACGCAAAATTGATCCGTGGAAAACCAACCCCAACGTAAATAAATTTCTTTCTTAATAGAAGGAGACACAAAATGAAGCCGTGGGCTGTCAGAATTGTAATCAATCTAAAATTTAATTAAAACTTTTAAGAATATTGTGGTGGAAACAGACTGTGAATAAATCATGACATACATGAAGCATGTGACTCAAGTCCACTCAAGCTTCTGCTCCACTGAAGAGACTAAAAACTGCAGCAGACAAAAACATCAAGACATCACATTAACACATGAAACAAACATGAATGACATTTTTCCACCAGGAAACCTGGCTAATGTCACAGTGAGAGCTTACTTTGATGAGTACAGCGTTGGCCAAAAGGACCAAAATAAGATCCTAAATGTAACCTTATGTTTAAATTGTCCACTCTTGGTGACCCTCCCCATCTTTCCCTTCCCCTCTGATGAACTTAAACTGAAGTTCAAACAGGCCCAGCTTGAGTAAAATACCGTACAGAGGATGCGGAAAACCCGTTTCCACCGTGTTTTATACCGCTATTTGTAAAGGACAAATTAAACTAAAAATAATCTCCAGAAAAACAGACAGCTTTGAACTTATGAAGCCACTTAAAACAACAGATCAATCCCACAAACAGCATCCAGACTGAGGAGAGAATTTAAAAGGTGATAATGAGAATTAAATCTTGTTTCTGTTCTCTTCTCTTTATAGAAATCTAGCCGTGGAGTAATCCTGCTCTCCTTGGTCACGATGCTGTTGACAAGCTGTCCTCACCTTGGTGCCTGTTTTCTACAAGCATATGTTACCATAGACACACTGAATAGTGCTCCGGCACACTGCAGTGATATACAGTACCTCTTTGTCCTTGATGGCTCTCTGTTTATCTCGCTCCCTTTCTGCTGCTCCCACTCGCATTCTCTGCGTGGTCTAGAGTGAACGTATCCTCCAACAGAAATCTAACTTCCGTATCCTCGCATGCTCTTCATTTCACTTGGTTTGGTGTGTGTCACTGCCCTCAGATCTGTCAGAAAGTGTGTGATTATTGCATCGAGTGACATTCAACCCCCTTATTATGCTGCAGTCTGAGGGGAATATGCCAGCAAGACATCATGAAATTCTTTTTTTTTTTAAATAGTGTTGAAGATGGTTGAAAACATGATTTATCCATTTGTCGAGATGAGGGAGGTTTTGCTCTGTGCGTGCTGAGGTGTCAGGATTTCATTGTCCTAAATTTGCTTGGTTATGTAACCCTTTCTTAAGAGACACATTTGATGAATCTCACAATGGAAGTTTTTGGTGTTTTTTCCCCCTCTCTCTCTCTCTTTGTGAGGAAGTTTAAAACTGACAAAGTAAAAAAAAGTAAGTGTATGTCAAGCCGATATTATTATTTTTTCCTTCGGTCTCAGCTTCTCTTTCTCGGTATTTCGCTTCAGCTCCAGAAGAGGAAAGAGAGAGAGGAGCAGCTGGAGGATGTGATCCAGGCCTACGAGAAGATTCACATGGAGAAGAGCAACCTCCAGAGGGATCTCGACAAGATGGTCAGAGACATTATTTAGTTCATTGCACTGTGCATTCGTTATTTTACAGTAGCTTTACTCATAAGCCATATGGCTCATTAATGAATTTCACACTCTTCTGATGGGGGGGGTGAAAATAAAATGTATAAACTCGGCATGGCTGACATCACTAATGAACATAATACTAAATACTGCATATGGACACCCCTGCGCATATGTGTTTGTGAAGCTGTTTTTAAGATTTGGATTCAAAAAGAGGAAATCTTAAAGAAACAATAAACAATAATATTATAGACAAAATTGAGCTTCCAACTGTTTGGTCCTTTCAACGTGACAGTGCCCCCGTGCACATAGTCAGGTTCATACAGTAATGGCTTGATGTGGAAGTGCCAGACCTCAGCCCCTTCCAACAACTTGGAACGAACTGGACCACAAACTGTGAGCCAGACTTCAATGTTGGACCTCACTGATGCTGTTGTGTCTGAATGAGATTAAATCCCTGCAGCCAGGCTCCAAAATGTAGTGAAAAGACTGAAACCAGAACAATGGAGGCTTTTATAGCAGCAGGTTAAAAGGGGTGATGTAGCAATTTAGTATTGCACTTCCTTAAAGGATAGGTTAACATGTTTTTTAAGTATGTTTTAAAGCAATAATGGCATGCCCATATGTACAGTGAAAGTGTTGTTGGTAGCTGTAACTGATCCTCATGTCCATATTGGCTGTGAAGAGATCCTTTATTAATGCATTTCCAATGTAGGTGGGGAACAAAACTCACTTTCTAAGCAAAAATGTATTCCAAAGTTCAGCCTCTGTTACATAATATGAAGCTTCAGCAGTCTGAGTTGGACAAATCAAGTGGATATATTACAAAGTGAAATTCGCTCTTTTTGTTACAATCCATCCACTACTGCTCAGAAAGGAACTGTTGTGGAAACTTCAGAAGCCTCATATTAACTCAACCCCAGTGTGAGAAATAACACAGAAGAAGTCTGTTATTTTTTCAGGGTTGTTTCCTCATGACGGGTAGACTGAGCTTGGTGGAGATTCTCTTTAATGCTCAAGGTTTTTAAAATAAATTAAATCACCACCACATAGGGGCTTAATATTGAGGCGTTCATATACTTTTGGCCATGTAGCGTATTTGTCACCATCCATCACTAATAATTCTGATTCTGATGAATTCTGATGTGTACACCATGTTGTCATTACCTGCTTTCAAATTCAATACAGTATTCTTCTCACACACAACATTTATGGACTTGGGAGGATGTAGCAGCAAAGAACGCTAACTGCACTGCTGCCTATTTTTCTGACATTGTGTTTGTCTCCCAGGGAGGTCAAAGGTCAGTGTCAGCTACAAAACAGCTCCTGAGGCTGGTGGGGACTGAGGACAAAAGAAGGCCACATGGGCTCAAATTCCAGCCTACAAAGCTCAGTTTACTCGTCACGATGAGCCTCAGCCTGTTAAAACAGTCGTCTGTGAAAATAACCCCTGATGCTCTCATTAGGCTTGACTTTAAAACAATAACACTGTGTCATGAACTGGATGTTCTAATGAAAGATGAAATCAAGCTGCACTATGGGAACTAACCGTCACTCACTAACCTTTTAAAGCAGTGGTCTCAAACTCAAACTGGCTTGGGGAGACTGTTAGTATTGCCATCTCATTAGAGGATCACTTCAGGGTTCAAGTTCAAGTTATGCTGTATGTCGTGCATGTATAGCACATCTGACAATAAAGTTGACTTGACTTGACTTGACAAGTACTACAAGAAAGCGCAATATTCGGAATATATTTCCATTACTAACATCTTACAACATACGTAACAAAAATGCAGTTTCTATAAATGTTTTATCAGCTTTGTTGTTCGCAGCCAAACAACAAATAAAGCCCTGAAACTTTTGTCCTTTTATCAACCGTTTGCATGCAGTTGCAGGCACCTTTAACCTAACCTTCTTGCTATTACCTCATTGGGTCATATTTTACACAAAAGAATTCAGTCTGTATATCGCTACCTCGTGAAAACGGATAATGAAGGGAACTGTAATGTATACGACTGTCCTTTTTCTCTCCTGACATTTCTTTTACATTTGGGACTCTGATAGTACGACCAAGAAGAAAAAAAGACACTTCACGAAACTCAATGAATCACTTTGACTGTGCACTTAAGACTGCACTGCTCATTTCAAAGTAATTGCCTTCTGTGCGAACTTTTTTCATTACTTCTTATACGGAGTCAACAGTCCTTCAGAGACAAGAGTCCTTTTAAAGTAATTCACTTAAATTTTTCCCCTGACACAACACACTTACTGTTTTTTGACTGTAAGGAAGCATAAAGTTTTAATTTAGCAAATTACTGCAATTGTTCTTTATCTGAGATACTACAAGTTCCTGTCATTTACAGCATACTATAATTAGTTTTTAGCTTTATCCTCTAACAATAGATGCGCATTAGTGTGCAACTGTGAAAAAAAAATTTTGAACACATTTCTGTAACTGGTTACAAATCAGAGTCGATCCAGACCAGGTAGAGGCTTCCAACTGAACAGATTGTCTGGCTGGTCTTTCCCAGATCCCCTCTGTGATAATAAACCATCTCATATGAGAGTGAAGTCTATTGAGCAGCTCTAGCCAAGCGGCATCAGCAGTTTTATGTGGTCCGAGTGATTAAGGGATGTGGTGCGCCAGAGATGTTGGAACTGCCACCTGCCAACGACTGACACAGTGTCAATGTCACCTGAAGCTGTCGCTCCAACTACCTACTGGGCCTCATTGACCTTTAACCTTCCCGCAGAGCACTCACTCACTAATCTACATAATATTCATACTTCTTCGACAAGGAAAGACTCAAAACTGAAAGTGAAATGAAATATATTCTTTCTCGCAGGGCTGACACATGCCTGCACCACCCTTGATTTTCATCTCCACCGCTCTGCTCTTCTCCCCCCATTTTTGGTCAACCTATCGATATAAATACAAGCAGACATCAGCACTGACATGCATGTAGATCTGTCCAAATCACGGCATCAGCACAGCATTAAAAACAAATGTACATTTTTACAAACATTACCATGAGATGCCAGGGTGGTTTAATATTTCTCATGATCTGTTCTGTAACATGTAAAACACTCAAGGCCAAGATGGGTTGTAAAAGAAACAAGCTTTGAAAAAACTGATGAAATAAAATACCAATCCCTGGTTGCAAATGTCAGTAATATAATATCAGTGCTAGGATATGAAGGTCTATTAGTCATACTGATATTTAGCAACCGTGGACTTTTAGCAGGTTAAATACCAGTAAAGCTCTGTAAATATTTGAATACGGTATGCTTTTAATGTAATTGGTAGATTCAAATAAAGCATTAAAAATGTGTGTGCTTACAGACCAGCCTGGTGGAGAAGCACGTCGAGCGTATCCTGGGCCTGGAGTCAGCTCTGAGGCAGAGGGACAACTCCCTGCAGAAACTCAACATGCAGCTGCACAGCAAAGACATGCAGTATCTGCAGTTGCACGCCGGCCCGGACACACACAGTAAGTGACTTTCATTCAGGATGTATATTTATATTAGAAACCACTCGACTGATGGCAACTATACCATCAACAATTTCTATTACCATCATTAGTGTGATTATCGTTGCTTTTAGAGGGCGCCTTGAATACAGCACTGAACTCCTGTCTTTATTAGCTTTAGCAGTTTCTTTGGATAAACCACAAGTGAGCAACTTTTTTAACACTTCAGCTTAAACACAGCAGTCACAGTGGCACTAGAAAACAAGGCTCTTTGTCTGTCTACCTGTAGCTACTCTGCTTATGACACTAACAGCAGCTAGTTTATGGATGCTACATAGTTAACAATAAGCTTAATTATAAGTGCAATTAAGTGTTTTGTTATCTTTTTGATAATATTAGATTAATGTTACATTAAATGTTAAAAATCTTAATCTATATCAACATATGTCATCCTTTACAAGTCTTTTATCACAGAGCTGTGACCGAATAATCAGCTATTATAAGCCAAACCTACTCATCCTATCGCTCTGAATAAAACTGATGAGGGTTGGTTTAACTGGAATCAAGTCTAACCTTTCGTGGGTGGAAACCACCCAAAAGGTACCAAACATAGCCCAAAACAACGCTGCCGAAAACTATTTTTACCCACCCAATTAAATAAAAAGTCTGGCAACACTGCTATATGTTCTAACATATGCCTTTTATTTATTAGCTACCAGCAGGCAACATTTACACATTAATGTTTTGGCTCTTTTAACAAATGTTATAACCAAAAAGAAATCAGTAATCAGAAAATGTATAAAAACATACATACATTTAAAGTTTCTCTGCTTTTGGTTATGATGTTTTTAGTGTATTTGTTGAGCTTTAATGGGGAGAACGATTATTAATAAAATTTACCTTTATACCCTCCACATTCCTAATTTATATATGTAAATATTAATAATATTTAATATAATGTGTGTATAATCCAGATTTCAGAGGGTGGTTTGGGTCAGTAGTTTGGTCCATGTATGATCTGAAAAAGCCGAGACACCAATCATCTCTGTTAATCACTTATTTCACACATATTTTCTCTATTTCTCAAATCTTTAATCAAATCCAACAATCTGGCCGGAAAGCATTTTAACTGAGGTCAGGTTAATCCTCCGGTTGTTGGAGAGAACCAGCTCGGACATTTTGTTCCAACTCCCCAGTCAGAGTCGCAGAAAAGAGACCTCCAATCTACGAGGGTGCTGGTGATTGAAATTCAATCATTCTGCCTCCAAAACATTTGGAGTGAAGTGCCTCGTACTGTAAATTTGAGGATTTCTCTGTATTATTCAGCCTGTTGCTGCCATCTGCACTGCTGAGTGATCTCTATTGTGATTACTCTGCATTACCAAATGCTAGAAAACCTGTGAGATAATTCCACTTATTACAATGTAAATTTATTCCTGTATTAAAATGTGTAAAAAAGTTTCAACGATGCTTCAAACTAGATAGGTCACTCCACTGCTTTCCCTGCATTTACGGGAGAAAACACCTATGAATAAAATCTTAAATCACTTTTCGGATTATAAAGCCAAACCAAGTCAGCAAAGTCCCTCATTTTTAGACTGCAGCACAGAATTATTAGATAAAATATGCAGTCCACTGCTGCTATAGACATGATTCTTTTCAACTTTAAGAACTTCTAGAGTTAGTGGATGCTAAACTCTGCGCTCTTCGACGACGTGGGTGGCTGATGGAAACATGGAAGAAATGTGTCACTGTCACCTCAACAGATGCCTCTATTAAGATATACTATCTTAATGAGGAGGAGGTAAAAATGTTCATAGGCATCAAACCCTCATATTTAATGGTAAAAAGGGTGTATAAGCTTTTTTTGTTATTTAATTTGTGTTAGAGGAGGCAGAGTTTGCAAGGTAGTATTGCTGATTAATAAGAGTGTGTGTGAATGAGGGCGATAAAATATGTTGTAGTGTAGACTGTGTACAGTATGTGTGCACTTGTGACTGCAAAACTGAGTATACTGGTGAGGAGGCAGGAAGAGCTGGAATATAAAAGATGATACCGCTGCGCTATTACCGTGTCTTCTGGCTCAAGGACTGAGTCTGTGTGAGCGGAGCTGAATCACTAACATGCCCACACAGATCACATCACCCAGGTACAAACTGAAAGATGCTGCCCTTGGAAGAAGTCAGTTCTTTTGCTCTTAAATACTCTCTATTGTACAACTGTGGACAGAAGAATGCTGCATTAGTCAGGGGGAAAGCGATTTGTACATTCTCTCCTCTCTTTTTTCCCTCCCAGTGCTGGACTGTCCAGCTTTGACTCTTCAGAGCTCCCGCAGCCTGGACGCCCTGTCCGACCTGAAGCTGCAGCGGCTGGAGGCAGAGCTCGAGGGGGCGCGGCATGAGGCCCAGGGGGCATGTCAGCGGGAAGAGGAGCTGAAGGGGGAGTGTGAGAGACTGAAGGAGGATATGAGGATGCTGCAGAACAGCCAAAGGGACAGGGTCAGTGTTAGTTTTAGTCTGTTTGGGGTGGTCCACATGGGTGGAGTTTACTGCATCTGACAGTTTAAATTATGTCAAGAATGCTATCAGAGAAACAGTGGACTTCAATACTTTCTTGTGATGCATTCCCTGGATCATGATTGATTTGCAGTACTAAGAGAATTGTATTTCTGTTGGATGGGAAGATTGATACCACTCTCATGTCTGCACATTAAATATGAAACTACAGCTAGCAGCCTGCATGATACTCACTGTCAGAGGCTGGTTAACATAGCTTAGCTTAGCACAAAGACTGGGGACAGCTAGCCTTGTTACTGTCCAAAGGTAATATAACACATGACCAGTTTATTTTTACGTTTAAGCTTCAGTGGACAAACCAAACAAGATATTATTTGTAAATTAGTGAGCTTTATAGGTATTGATAGCAGGCCTGTCTTACCTCAGCCAGGCTAGCTGTTTGCCTTGTATCCTTTGTGCTAAGCTAAGCTAACAAGCTTCTGGCCGAGGGTATATATTTACCATACAGACATAGATAGTGGTATCAATCTTTTCACCACTCTTCAGCAACAAAGATAATAACTTAACATGTCAAACTATTCCTTGAGTTCTTCTCACAGCTGATTTGCTGCCCGTTAATGACACATCACAGCATCCTATTACTCACTAAACAGAGAATAAAATCTCTCCAAATACAGTAATTCCTCTCTTTGTGGGACCAATATTGCATAAAATGTGGGCTTCCTGGATGAGCCATAAAAGTCCACAGTTGTGCATGTATACACAAATAAACACGCATACAGCGCTTGAATAATATTCATCAATGACTAAGACCTGTTTTCACCCACGCCCTTTTTTTTCTTTTAAACATGTTGTCTCGATTGGCTCCTGCTGTCAGATTTAGTCCAATATTCAACCAGCACCTGCATGCTAATCTAATTTCACGCTCTACTTCTGCAGGAAATGACTTCTCCGTGCAAGCAGTGTGATGTGGAGTGGATAAAGAAGGTGGGAGATGAGCAGTAAGTGACCACAACCGATCTCTGGGCAGAGGGAGAATGAAGAGAAGGAGGGGAGGGGGAAAAAAATAAAGGAACAATGGAAGGAAAGCAAGAGCACCAGGTAGTTATGTCAGAAATGAGAGATATTGGTTGAGCAAAAGGAGAAATGTTTGACAAAAGCTGTTGTTCATCTGTATCTTTATGCTCGAGCCGACCTCCAGGGGCCTCATTAGAAACTAGACGAGCTCTCCATCGCTGGATAACTGGGTTGAAACACAGTATTAATAAAGGAGTGTAATTGTGCACAAAAAGCTGCATTTACTATATATTACACTATATGTGCATTCAGCTGTAACACCATTAGTTCTGTATTAAACACTAGCTCAAGGAGGTTTTGGCAGGAGATTGGTCTGAGCAGTAGGGGGCAGTGTAAGCACAGTGTAGGACACCTTTCTGTCCATTTCCTCATGCCTGTGTACTTGTTGGACATCTTTATGAGACATTAAATCCAGTCGCATATATCTATACATTCTTCATCCCAGTCTTCCATACCTGAAACCTACACAAAATACACACACAAAAAAAGGAATATTAGTAGGATAGAAGTATTCAAGCTGCTGTGTTTCCACTCATTTCACATTTTTGTCACTTTCAGCCAACAGCACAAATGTGTTTAACTTGTACTGAAAGGAAAGAAAGTAACTTATCTTAGTGTCAGATTGCCCCAGGCTGTTTACAAGGTGTTGCAGGTAGAAAAAAAAAAAAAAAAGTTAAAACCACAGCAGGTCGACCAACTACTCCCACACAATGAAACCCCAGAAGTGTTTCGATGGGGAACAAACTGAAAGTAAATGGTGCGGCAGTGAAGAGAATTTTTACTGAGTGTGTGGTGGAAGCCCACTGCTTTTTCCAGACCTTGGTCACCTTTTGGTTTTACTCAACAATATCACTTACTCCCACTGAAAACGTACAATGCCTATACTTCGTTTCCTGGTGCTTTTTCTTGTAATTGGGCTCATTTAGTGTAAACTGCACAGATTGATATGGAAGATATTGCATGTGCTGTTTAGCGTATTAACACACCACCCTTGCCCTAATATTCATCAGCACTTTCTGATCCTATTCCTATAGAGTCTATTGGGGGAAAGTGGTGTTATTTAAAACTGAGGATTTTGTCAGTAAATAACTTTGACTGTGTGTAACTATTGATAACAGCTATTGAAAGGAAACTGATTTTATCTTTCATTCATCACAAGTACTTTTTTGATTACCTAGGCCAGTGGTACTCAAATGGTTTCTGGGATGCCCCATTCAGAAGCTGTAGAAAGATTTAGATCTATATCTATATCATTAACAATGATAGGGGAACCAAAACTTATAAAAAATGCATTAACACATTATATTTTGGAAGAGGATCTGAATCATGGAGCAGATTCACACATTGACCTGTCACATTGTTAGATAGGTCAACTGGGACAATTTGTTGCACATGTGTGAGCGAGTGTGTCGTAATTAAAGTAAATGCGTTGCCGTGACTAACCATACAACAAAAATAAAGCCATACAACAAACATAAAGCTCCCCTTAAACATCACAAACAAAATACCTTGACGGTTGTCTGCACTCTACTGACTGCGCACTTCTTTGTTTTTGTTAAAGTTGTACTTTTACAGCACTTCTCTCATTTTCCATCTGTTTTCTAAGAGACAGTGCAGTTTGTGGCTAATTCTGCAACTACTCACATCTTTCATGACTACATTTATGGAATTTCGTTTGTCTCACTCATAACTAATGATATGTGTTCGAACTACCCTCACCAACCACAAGCCAGGGTGCTGTACAGACGCTGGCAGCCACCTGGTAGGGCACCCCCTCCCCCCCACACATCAGTATGCAGAGTGACTGACTAATCCCTCTTCAACTTTCAGAAAGTGAGAGCCAATTTCCAATAAATCACAACATGATGATTTGAAATTGAAGAGGAATTCCCATTTCTAGTTGGTAATTCAAATAATTACAAATAAAGTAAAGATATGTTTGGGAAATGATATTGAGCCAGGCTTTTAAAACCATTAAATTTAGCTTTTGGAAATAATTTTCACATTTTAATTGATAATTAACTTCCCCAAAAACCCACTTAAAGTTACCAGGTAGCAAAGCTCAACATGCTGAATGTGTGGTGCATCATGGCTTGGTGTGAGAACTGTTTGACACCTCTCTGTGAGGGGTTAAAGTGGTTCATGTGCGGAGTAGAAGTAGAGTGTGACAGAGTGTGGACTGCAGAGTGTGAAAAGCCCCCATCATTTAACACCTGTTCCTTCTTGAGGCCGGAGACATGCAGCTTATACATTTCTCTTAAGCAGAGGTGGGAAGTAACGAAGTACAGATAATTCATTGTACTTCACTTGAGTAACTTTGTACTTCCTACACTTTTACAGAAACATCTGTAAACAGAACATTACTTTAGTTTTATTGCATTTAATGTGTGATTATTATTATTATTACTTTGCATCATTGACAAAAACGCTGAGTTTCCATTAGCTTTGCACAGAAACAGCCAGAAGAAATCTCCTCAGAGAAACCAAGAGAGTAGCTTTATACTTTAAGTACATTTTACAGCCTTTTTCACTGTTACTTGAGTAAAGAAGTTAAAACTGTATGTAAAGAATGCTTCTGCCACCTCTGCTTTTATGTACCAGCAAAATCTTAAGAAAACACAATGTCGTTAATGTGAGTGACTGCGCCAGTAGGTTTGAATAAGAACATTTATTAGACAACAAAGAGGAGCTCAGATCTCACAGGCAGCTGCAGTGACGGCTCTTTCTTTGAAACGTCTGATCAGAGGTCAGATTTCAGCCCACACTCTTCACTTCATCTCCCACATACATACACGCACACACACAAACACACACAAACATACTCTTGCACCTGATCGATTCGGTGACACGACTCTTTCATCAGCGCCGCATTGGCATTATCACACCCCTCCTACACACTGTACTGTACATTGTACAGTAAGTGCGTGCAGTTACAAGCATACAAGCGAAGAAAAAAGGAAACACAATGCAAAATAACAGACGTACAGTATGCTGCAAGTGTGCAAAGTATTTTTAGATATACAAAAACAAACAAGGGACCTGCATTTCACACAGAATACAGGCAATGAATGAGAAATGTTCTTCCTGCGTGCGCTCGTGTTCTCGTGTTCACACATCTGCTTTACTACATAGTTCCAAGCGTGAGCGGTTCTGCAGTCTGACCCGGGTCTCTGACACAGACTGTCGAAACACACAAGCGAATTTTGAAAAGTGAGACAGTACATGTGTGAAAAGGAAGAGGTGCATTAATGTGTTAAAGTGTTAAGAAATTCAGCATTTAGAAAGAAAGAAGAACAGCGCAGAGTGTCAAGTGAGAGTAGTAAGGAGAGGAAGTGGATTACAATTTACAGGCACTTCAATCAATATCAATATCATACTGCATGCTCCACCCACCATGCCAGTAAGTAACCTAATGATTGTGATTTTCCTACTGAGTTTGTCTGTATGTTTGCATGAAGCTTTGACCCAAAGCCACAAATATAGTATGTGCATTTGTTTTTTTACCACAGACGACCCTGAATCATTTGTTAATACCAGGTTCCACCAACTCGTACCACAAGGATGGATGCTGTTTGTTATAAGGTGGGGGATGACAGGGGGTTTGATACCCCACTCTGACTCTGTTTGAGTCATAGAAGGTGGGTGGAAAACTAGGTGGGCCAGTTGCAAAAGCCAACTAACAAATGGAAGTTATGACTTATATTCAGTTTTTTTGAAATTGTGAACTTCCTTGAAATGGGGTCCCTGAGTTTATTTTAAATTATTTTAGGGTGATAACCTTAAAAAGCAGTTTATCCTTGTTTTAAACGTGTGAAGAAGCAACACATCACTTGTGTTGGCAAGCATGTTTTCAGTGCACGTCTTTGTGGATAGCTGCAAAATATAAAGAGGTGCAGAATGATATTGTAGTTCAGACAAAGTAATATACAGTGTTCTTTTTAAGTAGCAAGCTTACATACACAAGTGGGAAGACTCAATTAAGTTAGTACGTGGGTGTGCTGGGGAACATATTTTTAATTAGACAGTGTGTTTTATTTGCTGTGTAGGCCGGATACACAAGTGTCTTTCTTTTCTTTTCTTTTTTCTTCGGTGCAGTGGAAGTTCATATCTATTCCTACTGACGCAGAAGAAATCCCCAGGATATGCATATGTGTTGTTTGTCATGTTTTTATCTGCCACGATCTCTATGGAAGAGTGAACTGAGTCAAATTCTAATCAACAAAGAGGTTAAATTGATAATCAGATGTGCTTTATCAGATCTACTGTAAGTCTGGCAAAAATGTGGCATTTGTCTGCAACAAACTTGTTTTTTCTGTATGTTTCCGTTCATTAGTACTGTTCAAGTTGTCTGTCTAACATTTAGTTTTTCTTTAAATGTTTTAAATACTGTAATTGATAAAAGACGGCCACTTTGGTGTACTTTTTTACAGTAAAGGCAAGTTTATTTTTATAGTACATTAAACACGCAAAGACAATTAAGGGTTTTAGTATGATGCATTAAAAACACAAAAAAGAAAGAAAAACAATTTCAAAAGGTTAAAGTGCAAATGAAAATAATAGAAACCTTTTAAAGGAAATGAAAACGCTAAGAACACAAGGACAAGATGATTCATAATGACTGTTTAAGTTTCAGTCAGGCAGGGCACAACATAAAAGTCTTTAACCTCGATGTAAAGGTGGTCGAAGTTTAATTTCTTTAAGTTTGCTTATTTATTGTTGCATTTATGAAACTTAACAAAACTGTCTGGTCTTGATAAAAGAATTTACTCACACTGGCAGGATAAAGTGATTATCTTAACAGATCTCAAGTTAGATTTCGAGGGGTTTCACGTCTCGCCCATCTTGCAGTTAAAAGTTTAATCTACCACTTTCGATGCTAGAATGAGTAAATTTCAGGTCAAGACTGGGGAGTTTATAAAAATTGGTTAAACATTCGAGATAAGCTGGCTGTTATCAGATTTGGCCCTGGCAGTGACTAACTACTATAGTTGCCTCTGCCATATGCAAACTGCAATATTTGCTTTTAACAACATACCGTAAATATCACCCATTATCCCATCTAAGCTCTACCATAGATGCTTAGACATGTACAGTGTGTCTACTTGAATAAGGCTTGCCTCGCAATAATTTATGTTGTGGGATTCAGATCAGTTTCAAGCAAATGAGTTGAGACAAAGTCAGCTCGTTGCCATGGGTAAAAGACACAGAAGCATGTAAGCCAACCATCGTTGTTTACGGTTCTCAAAATAGAGTTGCTCTGTCAGTACGGCCCCTGAGAGAGTCATGACACATCTTGCATGAAATGGTGTGATTTTATGCACTTCAATTATGCACTGTGACTTTCTCTCTAAAAATATAAGCCTATAAGCCTCTCAATTAGCCAGCCTGATTTGTGAGGCTGTGTCAGTGCTGTAGAGCTCATTCAGTTTAAAGAGGAGATGAAGATCTGTGATGCAGTTCAGCTGCCCTCTGATAAACTTCCATCAATGGTGTACATTTTGATGATTAAAAAGAGATTGCAGTGTTTATATTCTTGTATGGTTCTAATACATTATCATTCCAGCAACATTGTAATATTCTGTAATGACAATGATTATGATAATTACATAATTGCCTCACTTCCTCCTTCCTCCAGGGTGAATTTAGCTCTGGCCTACACAGAGTTAACGGAGGAGCTGGGACGCCTCCAAGCCCTGAGCTCCAAGCAGACGGAGATCCTGAGGAAAGCCTCACAGGAGCAGGCTAGTCCAGGTTAGCATCTACAGTACACATATAAACTGCATATCAAAAATGTGGTTTAGTGTATTTAGTTGCTTTACTTGAATAAAAGTAGCAATACCAACTGTAACAGTATATACAGTAGCTACTGTATTCAAAATGTAGTTGGGAAAGGTAGAGAAAATTTTAACCACTCTATAAGTGTTATACTGTATGCCTCTAAACAATGGCCTGTGCCACTCTAATTCCATAAAAGAACTTCTGGTTGTGATTTGTTGCTTCAGTTTTCTTGCTAAATAACAGATATGTTGATGATAATGAGTACAACTTTCGAATGCTAAACAGTAGCAACACCTTTCTCTTCCTGCACATGCAGTCACACACATAGCTAATGTCTCACAACTGTGCATCTACTACCTACCACAAACCCAAAGGCACCTCATGCTTTGCCTTTAGTGAGCTGTAGATAGCAAAAACTGGAAAACGATGTTGCGTAAATCGATTAACACATTTTTATCCAGCTATGAGATTCATTCTCAGAGAAAAACCCCGACTGCATTAGACGTTTCCCGATGGTGATGTAGTGTCACATTAATTTAGAAAATGCGACTTGAATGGCACCTCTGCATAATTAGTTAAAAGATCGTTCAAGTAATATGATTGCCTCTTTTATTTTTAACAACGAAACGAATTATTGAAATTATCAGCGAAGTGGGAATTTGTGTGTAGCCATAAAACTTTTCTTGGGTGTTACACTGTAAGAGTAAGCATGAGCTGAATAGCCCCATTTGAGAGTTTCCTCTTCATTCTGAGGTTCAGAGAGTGCTTTAGAGCACAAACACCCCCTCCCTTTTAACACCTAAACCAACTGGCCATAAATGATGTTTCCTCTTTTATATGGGAAGTGGAGCTGAAGTGGTGACTGCAGGGGTGACTGACTCATCAACATATCTCGCAATTACACGAAACTGTACTGTACTTGTGAAGATACAAATCTTTTTTATGAATACATAGAGGAAAATAATGTGCATTTCTATTAAGTGAACATCCTGGTACAGCGCCTGTAGGAAACCTATTTTTGTAAAAACCTGCTATGAACGTCTCACAATAAAAAAACATATTAGCAATTTTAATGCCAAACATTGTAAAACCTGCCATGAACGTCTTCCAATAAACTACATTTTAGCAATTTCAGGGCCAAGCAATGAGAACAATCTGTCTCTACCGGAAATGTCGACAGCTAGATTTGTGTGAATGTTGTGGTGCCAGCCTTGGTTATACCTAGCATTTCACTACATCTCACATGACCACTTGTGATCAGATTACACTTCCCCACTCTATATGCCCATAAACACGTACGTCATTTGTGGGTTGTGATATGAATCATGCAGTTTCCATTGTACTGACTCTCCGGCCCAAATGGAAATCAGACATTGTGTTACGTTTGTCCTCTGTCCATGCAAATCCTTTTTGCCTGTTGCTATGGATTCTATGTGTAGTTTCAAACTATATGACTCCATTGGCAGGCAAATAAGTACAGACTTACGCTTATGCAGAGGACGTCAGTTAAGTATGCGGTCCTTCAATGTGGTCCAGGATACATTTGCATACACACAGCTCCAAATGTGGTCTGAATGATCGGATCTCAATGCGTCTTGAGTGCATTGACACGTGTATATAGAGCTGTCCCACTTGTGATTGGATCACCCAAGACGCATGTGTAAACAGGGCTCCCTTCTTATTACACTAAATGGCTAAAAGTCTGTGGACATATAGACGTTACACTAATGGACTAATGTTGAACATCTCATTCCAATACCATGGGCATTAATCTGCAGCTTTAACAGCTTCTACTCCTCTGGGTAGAATTTCCACAAGATGTTGAAACTGGCTGCAGGGATTTGCTCCCATTCAGACACAAGAGCATTAGTGAGGTCCAACACTAATGTTGGTGAAAAGGCCTGGCTTGCAGGTGTTGGATGGGGTTGAGGTCAGGGATCCCTGCAGGCCAAAGAAGTTTTTCCACACCAAACTGGTGAAACCATTTCTTTGTGGACCTGGCTTTGTGCATGCAAGCATGCTAAAACAGGAAAGGAAACAAACACATAAAGAATGATTAAAGTAAGGCCTAGTAAGTAGTAAGTAAGTCAACCCTAAACCAAAAGTAGAAACCCAAAGGTATATGCACAAGGGTGTACACATACTATTGGCCATATAGTGTAGTAACAAGTTACCAAACTTTTCAAATGTGTTTTTATGTGCTTGTTTTGTTCCCTCAGTCCAGCGTCACTCTCCCATCCACCACCAGCGCCACTCTCCAGTACCTCAGCGCCACTCGCCCATCTCACAGCGCCATTCTCCAGTCCCGCCTCCACAACACCATTCTCCAATCCAACAGAGACGCTCCCCGGTGCTGCAGCGCCTTTCCCCAGACATGCACCGCCGCTCACCCCTGTTGGACGTCAATGACGGACCGGCCTCTTACTCCTGCCGGCCACCCAGCCAGCACCTGAGGGCCAGCTTCCAGGGCCGTCGCAGTTACTCTGAGGTTGCCGACCCCTCGGCTTACCAGTGCCCACCCCGCTTCTCACTGGACCCTGTCTCAACACTGCCTAAGCCCCGGCCCTACATTGATAGCTACGCAAAACAGCAGCCCCAACATGTGGGCAATCCTCATGGTGGACTGCAGCACAGAGTCTCCCCGTCTCCCCATCAAGGTGGTGGAGGAGGAGACGGGGGTCTTGGGGAGAGTTCTATGCGCCACTCAAGAGAGATGCCGTTCCCACTGTCTGAGGTGGCCCACCTGCATTTTGAGCCCCCTCCTCCCTCCACACCGGCCCCCCAGCCACCACAGTCCTCTGAAGATGAGGAGGAGTGGACCTGCCCACATCCCATCAGCCCACCACGGACGCTGGGCGTGCTCTCTGCTGCGGTGCCCAGTGGCGTCATGAGAGGCCCAGCGTCCTGCTCAGCCTTCCCCATCCCTCAGAGGTCTAACACCCTCAGCTGCCACCCACAGCCGGGGTACATGTCAGCAGAACATGCTCAGTCCTGGCCTTCAATCAATGTGAGTTAAGTGTAAAACTTGATTTCATCTGTGTAAAAGAGTTTAAGTTACGCGTTTGAGTGATTTTAAAACCATGAAGTTGCAGCAATGAAAATGCACAGTGTCCTGTGTCACTAGTTACTGAGTTGGTTCACAGGAAATAATTTGTATTTAACCCTTGAGACTATTTGCATTGAATGCTGCTTTTTCACACTGAATGTCACAATCATCAAAAGGTATCAGTCTTTTTTTTCTTAGTTCCTTTAAAGTAGTGGTTTATTCTGAGAGTAAGATGAGAAGTGTGATATCAATCTGATGTGTTGTGCATTAAGTACCAAATTGATGAAGGTTCCCTAACCTTAATGAAGCACTTATTTATTTATTGGCCTTTTATTGCCTTTAATTGTCAGTGGCAGCTCAACAGTGACAGGAAATGGGGGGAAAGAGAGGGAATTACACACACCACAGGGGGGCACGCACAGGTCACAGGTTGGAGTCGAACACATGGCCACTGCAGCAAGGACTCAGCCTCAGCCTGAGCTACCAGGAAGTACTTACTTTAACCAAAAGGATCTTTACCTCATTTTAAAGATGTTGTTTTTTTAAACCTAAAACAAACCTTAACTTTAAGCTTTGTCAGGTTAAAAATTAAATTTTTTCTAACAAGGATTTCAACAGTTTTGGAAGGCACTGACAGATGGCATTGTCCTATGGAGGGGTGGCAGATCAGATCGCTTATATGTGTCGTTCTGGAGGGCAATTCCAAATGACATACTTGGTTGTTGTTAAATAAGCACTGTGCTTAACACACATGCATGAAATATTACGGATATTAATCTCCTCTTCTTACTCTCGGAAATAAAGCAAAGGAAGGTTTCCACCTGGATTTACTACTGGTCGGTTTATCTCATGCCAAAACCCTGTTGTGTAAGTCTGAAGTGATAACTCATCAAGTAGTGATGTAATTTTGTTGCCTTCCACAGAATGACTAACACAATCCTGTGGAGTAAGTAAGTTGAGGACCGCATGTGATTTATCCTTATGTCTAATTGTGTGTGTGTGTGTGTGTGTGTGTGTGTTGCTCTGCAGCTCTGGATGGAGACCGAGGAGAGTGACATGCGGAGCTGCCCTCTCTGCCAGCTGATATTCCCTGTCGGTTACCCTGACGATGCCCTCATCAAGCACATCGACTCCCACCTGGAGAACAGCAAGATCTGATTGCCATGGCAACCAGCCCGCACATATCTCTGCGGCCTCTTCTTATAGATTATGTAAGAGATTGGCAGACCCAGCCAAATGGAAAGTCGAATGTAGAATCACAGGCGACCTATTTTGCGGTGCGAACCAGTTAGCTGTGTGCGGTAATCTATAGGTAGGGACGCAAAATGGGCGCAGGGGCCTGGTATATATGGAAGTACTTAAACACGGGTCTGTGTTGGATTTGTGAGTCCACATGCAGTCCTTTACTGATCGCCCTTAAGACAGCTCTGCCTGTATAATCACTGGCTCTGGTTGCTGCTGTTTTGTTATGAGTCTTGTTGTGTGGTTTCAGGCAGTTTCAGGTGTTGTGTTGTTTTTCGCTTCACAGTGTAGTATACATTGATTTAGCAAAGTAAGCCAAAGAAGAGGTATGAGAGGCAGGCTTGAAGGTTCAGGGGCTCTGCATGTCAAAAAGTTAGTTTAGTGTTTCAACAGTAATGATCAGGGAGATCTGAGGCGTCCTTTTTTTAACAGACTATTCTCACCACTTAGCTTTAATTACTTTACACCTGCTTGGACATTTTCTATCTCACACACCTACAGTATCTCTTGCAGAGGATTCTGTGCAGTAAGTGCCAAGGACAGTGATCTGGTAGAAGTTGGCTTATTGAAATGATCTGACAGATATACAAAGTCATGTGGGATGATGATTAGTCATTTGATTGTAGATGTGAAGTTTTTGATGCTGACACTGTGAAGGAATTTTGACTGATTTTCTGTCAATCAGGGTTTGATGCCAGTTCACTTTTTTTGTTTTTCTATGGCAGTTAAGAAAGTATTAAACATTCCAGTCTCACATTTCAACTACTGAAACCAACTGACAAGCTGGGGAACATGAATGTGAAAGTATGTTTGGATCAAGGCGGTTTTACCCAAACAGAGTTAAGATGATGCCCTGCAGGGCGGGGCACTGATGTGTCTTCTCTACTAGGGAAACATTTTGTCAGAATATACCTTTATGCTTGCGGCCTGTTAAAAAAAAAAAAAAAAATCTAAAGTATCTTAGCACTTTAAGTTAGCATAGCCTATACAATGTATATGTTTTCAGTCCCCATATATATTTTCCATGTATAATTTACTATTTATATTGTCAATCTGTAAGGCAAAAAAATATGAAGATATATTTTTGCAAATGTTAATGCACCACATGTCTCATGTTGGTGTCGTTCCCATGTGCTTGCACACTGCTGTATATAGAGGAGTTGAAGATCCAAATCCCACCACATGGGATACTTTTCTGTACAAAGACTTTAAATTATCAACTGGGATTCTCATCGGTCTTCCTAAAGATCTGACCTTCAAAACAGTTTGATGTCACGACTGCCCAGACCACCCAACAAAAAAAACAAAAACAAAAAAAAGAACACACACAGCTGGCTGCATGAGATAAAGACTTCTGACCTGCTTCGAGGAAAAAGTGGCAGGCTTTTTAGTGTACTGTATTTCTATCTCGGAGATCTGATACCAGAAACATCATCTCCAATCAGCAAAGTTATCTCTGCAGGGTTTCAGCAATGACAATACTCTTCTTTTGATACATGGGTTTAGTTTTTATCACAAGTGGAATCTTAATGCGAGATCTGCTTGTGGGACGTGAACTTCTTTTTTGAGAAAAAAAAAGAAAAACAACAAAGTTACACTGATGTCAGCTACTCTGAGGCTTTCAGTTCCATGTGCAGTTTCTAATATGGGGATGTCCCTACACACCTACCCATGCATTTAAATTGACTGGAAGTTATTGAAGAGATGAAATGCGGTAGATTAGAGCACATATTGTAGGACAGCGGTTGTGGCAGCAGGATGATGTAGGTTTCAACATAGGTTTCAAATCCTTGTTTGCCCACCTGAAGTACTCTTGAGCAACACACTGAGTCTCTACAAGCTCTGGAGGCTTTGCTCCAGGCTATGGCTTTACAAGGAAGGTTTAAAGAGAATTTTTCAGTGGGGGGATTAAATTATCAGATTAAAGAGTAACTGGTTTATTACCTCCTGGACCTAGACCTTGTTCTAGCAGGTTTGGACACTGGTTTTGTTGGTCACGATAACATCATAGTCACCTGGTTAATTGCTGAGATCCGGGAAAGCCCCAGTATTGCTAAAAATAGAAGTCGGACAAGTTGCTGAACTGCTGTTACTGACGTGCTAACTGCTAACATGCCAACCAGTCAGTCACAATAATTCTGTGAGCCTTTCCATTTTCTCCACAGAGTGCTGTTTACTTTGAACAACATTTTGTTCAACAAAAGGTTATTGAAGAGTGAAATTAAAGCCATTAGTTAGCTTAGCTGTGTCACTAACTAACATTAAGTTCACACTGTCTCATAATTACCCTTTGTAGAGCAGTTTGTACTGGCGTTCTCTCAAGCTGTGAAGATGACTTGCTGTTGGTCAGTGGTGCGAACTCAGCCAAGTCACTGTCGTTTTAGTGGCTCTAAAATAGTGAAAGCAAGGTTCCACAAACGAAGAATTATTGCACTTTTATGAAATATAAAAAAGGCAGAGGCTATGTATAAGGAGTGAGCCTTGTAACTAAACAGTTAATTGCGCATTAGGATTGGTTTGATTCAGCCCAGCGGGTGTTGATTGTGTTGCATCTATAAGTTTATTTAAAGAGGAGCTCTGTTTCATCCTGTGGCTGAAATCAGAAAAAAAAGTACCTACCACCCCCACAAACCAATTCCTGTGGAAACCCTAAAAACTGTTCAGAATTTCACAAGAAAAAGGTTTCAAGTTCGAAGCAATCTGAAAACAAAAGCATAATTCTATTCCTTGTGTGGGTTCTCTGACTGCTTGTGGTTCTTCCCAATTAGACTTGTTTTTAGCAATGTCACCAGGCTCAGAGACTTAAGCAATTAACTTGTTGATTACAATGTTCCAATAAACTGGAATTATCCTTAAAGAACTACATCCCTATGTGTACAATAAGGCAGTGCGGAGTTACTTGACCATTCAATCGAAGAGGGCTTTATCGACTACCAATTATTATCTACTGTATGTATGTTCCTATATCACTCTGTGTAAAAAATATTTAAAGTTGTGTACAGACAGGTATTTTGCAAGTGTGTAAGGCTAATGCAACATGTACTCTATTATTCAACAACTTCAAATTGGAGTGTCTGTAAATCAGTATATATAATCCTAGCCACCACCACACTACATATGAATTATATTCGAGTTATGTACAAGTACTACCCCACACCTTTCCTCTTTTACTCACTATGTAGTGATATGTCCTATCTCCTATGTAGATCCATCAGTTTTAAGCTGTGGGATGTGTGACAGTGAGCACTTTCAACCTTAGTCACATATGACATCAAATGATCTGGACTGACTGTACGACCACAAGTACACTAGGTTTAAAGAAAAATCACAAATGAATGTTTGTCTGAAGGTTTCAGAAAATATAAAGAAACAATAAGCGTGCTGATGCATATTTTTCTAGTCTGATTTATCATGCAGCAAAGAAAGAAAGAAGCACAAATGTGCATAGTTGTTTGTCTTCACTGCTGATGGTGTAATGTTGCATCATAAACTAGTAGTTCAACTGCATTTGGGAACTTTAAGTTAAGTTACGACTATGTAATTTGATTTTAACTGCAGCTGAGGTCAGATTTTTCACAAACAATATGTACTTTTTTCCCCCTAGAAAACCTACTTTTGTTCATGACAATATTTCCTGTATTTTGAAAAACAGAGGACATGGTTAACAGGTCTTCTTTTGTTCATGGCGGGGGGGCTGCATTGTGGTTAATGGTGCTGGGATGTTGTTGTTAGTAACCGCAACCTGTTGGCCAGCAGCAGCAATGTAGAGCAATCCCGCCCTGTATGAGCTCACACATTGCAGCACACATGTTATTTCAGCAACACTACAACACTGCACGTACAGAAGCTGTGCTGAGGTCCATCACATAAAGATGTGATGAGATAATTGCTAGTTCAGGTTTAAGATCTTAATTTTTGTCTAAAAAACTTAAAATCTGAAACCATCTCGTCTGTTTTTCCACTTTTTTGTGTCCTAAGAGCAAACTGACTCCTTGGTTTACTCAGGAGATCAACAGCAGTGGAAAGATCAAATCTGCCATCGTTAGATTCAATTTAAATATTTCTTCATCATGAAATTTCACTCAGATTTACTCAGGAGACAAACGGCTAGGTCCAACAAAGAGTAAGAGTTTTAAAAACCAGTCTGATTGTTCATTCTTGTATAGCTCCACTCTCCTATAAGTAACTACGTGAGTCAGGTTGTTCTCCTGGGTAACATTAAGCGCGCATGGAGACCTCAACACTAATGAACTCTCCACAACACTAATGAGAAGTAATGGCTACTCCACAGCATTTGTGTGGTGGAACAGCACTGCTGGCATTCAATGACTTTACGAGTGTGATAAACAAAATGAAAGCAACAACAGAGTCACTTTTTCTTTCTCTCTGTGTCTGTAAATACCCCTATAAATAAACTGGAACTTGCACTGAAATAATGTATGAACTGGCTTCTTTATGCACAAACCATGATGTAATTTGCTCTCGGCTGCATTTCACATTCTTTGTCTTCACTGATGTTGACTGCAGAGCTTGTGACGCACATGAAGCTTGAAATTGTTTAAGGAGTTACACAGTTTGTGTCAAGAGAATTTAAAAAGCACAGATGTGGGTGAAAATCTGGCAACTTGTCTTCAATTTTAATGTTTTTAGAAGCATAAATATTGCTTGGGATTATCCAAACTACAACAAATAACAGCAATTTGTGTTCTTAATTATTTGAAAGAGGATGTAGAGTATGATCAGTGTATGTGCTGCATCTCTCTGCAGAAAGAAAGGAAGTTTGGTTTGGCAATACAGTAGGTGCTCACATGTGATATTTCAAACATTTTATTTCACAACTTCACCTGACAAGCTTTATATTCTTACTGTTTTATTTAAATACTGCACATGTTGAAACTTTCAAAACTAATATTTCTTTTATATCACATAAAGAGCTTCAAATTGTTGCCGTTAACTCCCATTTTTGATGGTTTTTTTATTGCATGCATATAACCCAGAGTGAAATTCAAGCCTCAAATGTATAAATACATCTCAATTATAGAATGACATGTTGATATTAAGTTATTAACAATCATTCAGCACTTGACAGATGATATTTCTGCAAAACTATTCAGCATTGGGGGTGGGTTTCGAAATGTATATATATATTTATGTTTATATTCAACATGCACAGTGCCCTTTGCACACACACACCCCTACTCACACACACAGAGGCTGTGATGGACACTTGTTTGAATTGTTGTGGCTGCAGAGTCCTGAGGAGCAGTAATCATGTTGTTAGTTTCAGTCAGCCAGGCCGGACGCTGCTGCTGAGAGTGCTGAGCTCGCTGTGAAAACATCCACATCACCCATTGATAACGCCCAGGTATGATACGCTGCAATTATCCTGTCAGTGGTCCACTTCAGCCAAGAAACAGATTGGAAGAGACCTCAACAGCTGCTATGTTGCTATTTGTTAGCAGCTAATATTTATGTTTCGTAGATCTCAGAAATAAGTTATTGCATCAATAAAATAAGTCAGTTTGTGAGCTCACATTAAAGTTAAAGGGAGGTGGTTGATATATAAACTTTGGTTTGTCTTTGTAGCTACTTAATTATATTAATATTATTAAATATTGTGAACTGAGAGTTGTTAAAAGTACAGCAAATATGATGACTATGTGTGTCTGCTTTGTTTGTGCATTCATTTTTTATAAACGATTATATTATTTTCCTGTTTCATCTGCATCACCATACTGATTGATGGAATTAAAACAGACACATTTTTACAAAATGACTTTACAGATTATAACCTTAATAATCATCTTATGGACTGCTTAATAGACGAAAAGCCCCATGACTATTTATTGATGACTTATTAATAACTGAAACTTAAATGATGAATGCAGCCTTGTCGGTTTCTTTAGTCAAATGTGTGTCCACGAGGTATAAATTCTTTTAATGTTTTTATTGGTCTTTATAAAATACTGTGACTGACCTGTAGAACATTAAAGTATTTAATCATTAAAAGTGTCTTTTGATAAAAGGGGGATACAAACAATTTCTCTTTATCATTCATTCACGTCTCACATATCTGTTCACACTGTGTTGATTGGCTGCATACAAAGCATGTCAGAATAAATCAACCAGTTTACAGAAAGTGCTTTTGTCATAAATGTGAGGAAAACTTTGGTGCACATAGAAAGTTATCAAGCAGACCAAAAACAAACAAAAAAAAGTCCTCTGACCCGTTTTGTGTGAAGTCAAGTTTGTTTTGTTTACCTCAAATCATAGCCTCCCTCCTTCAGCCGCCACCAAGTTTGTTTCCTACATCTTAACTCTGTGCCGCTAACCTCAATACATAGCCTACCTCAGGAAAAAGAAAAATGCACCCACCCATCCGGGCCACAAAACCACAGGCCTTGCAGACTTATGAGAAGCAGCAGTAAAAGCCTGTAGTGAGAACTAAAAAAAACACACATAAATTCAGTCAATAGGTGATGAAAAGCATCACATTCTGCTCACTGATCAAAAACAACAACTCCTCTGTACTTTCAAACACACACACTGCTTAGATACTGTAACCAGCAGGCATGTGTGACTCTGTATACACACATACACACACGTCCAAACACACAATTCTTAGAAGTCACAGTTTTTTTTGTCATTTCTCTATTTCCAGTAATCCTCACATCACTTCTTGTCTGTTGCCTTTGGAAATAAGATTACTGTTCAGTAAACTGTGGTTCATTGTTAACGTTTTGCTTATTCAAGGTTACATTTTAACTATTGTATGTTATCAGTATAATTTCCATGAGAAAGGATAATGCTTAAACATGTTGCTCACTTGCAATAACTACTCATATAAATAAGAATATTAATACAATTAATATGTATAACATGAAATAACAAAAATGTGCAATGCATCCAATTAGTTTTCCTTATATATACTTTACATTCTTTTACAGGAATAACTAGTGAGGCTCATACTGAAAAAAAAGTCACACTGTTTTCTAATTTTATGTTATTTGCGGGAAAAGCAGGTGTGACGCTGGTGAGTTCCCTTTATGTGTTGAAGTCCATCAGTGTTTACACACTGTTGACATTTGTAACTAATACTAAGGTTACAACAGGACCTTCTAGACGGTTCTTTATAATGTTGACCTTTATAAACTATTGAGTTCAGGAAATAAACGATATAAAAACAATTCCTCGCTGCTTGTAACGGATGAAAATCTAATAAGAAAGTCGTGATATCACAGACAGATCTGTGTTTGTCTAATAATTAAAGAGCTCAAAGCAACTTGAAGCCCTGTTCATTACATTAGTCTTACAGTAAACATACACAGTAAGTCTAACTTGAATTGTGCTACACATTGAATTAATGTATATAGCTGTTGTTGGGGGAACTTTATATGTGTATTGATGTTATTATATGTATATGTATGGTTATTTTGAGTGTTTTGCTTTATACAGGAAGTAGAAAACATTCTCCTTGGGGTTTTGCAGCTCTAAAAAAAAAAGTCTCTTCTTGGGCATGAAGCCATTGCATGTCATCAGTACAGAAGCGGCGTAAATAAGCACTTTCAAGTTTTCCCTAACTTACAGGTAAATAATTTAATTTTATATCCCATGTTTAGTTTGGGAAATGTTTCAACAGCCCACTAGATGGCCACATAAACCACATAAACCACAGAACTTCACTACACACATACTGCTCTGCCCAGGTCTTATTTACATATTGTGACAACAGTTATTGTAAAACAAAAGAAGGAACAAACTTTACTGGCTGTGTTCAAGGTGCTGAAGAAGATAGAATTAAATTGTGCAAACTCACTGAATTCACATATAAGTGGTAAGAAAAGAAAAAAAGCAGAGGCCATGTGGAAGTGAACTGTTGCTAAAGATTTGACTTAAATGCTCAAACTAAGGTGTGAATTCCAGCTCTAACTGATATTTATTGTTCCCTTCTTGTTATGGTAAAATATGATACACACATAATTTAACACACACACACACGCACACAGAAAACATCTACATTTACAGATTTCATCACCTTCAAAAATGAGCTCTCTGTCCAGAAGTGACTTTACTTTTAAAGTGTTACTTTCAAAACGATGCCCTTACTTTTGTTCTTACTGTCCAAAAGTGTCCACATGTTTCAAAAGTTTCCTCACTTTTTTAAAGATGTCCTTACTTTCCAAAGGTGTCCTGACTTCCAAAAATGTCCTCTTTCCAAAAGTGACTTAATTTTCAAAGTATTATGTCCTCACTTTTGAAAAGATATCCTTATAATGCAAAATGTCCTAATTTTTGTGTCCTTACTTTTGAAACAATGACCTAACCTTCAAAAAATGCCCTTACTTTCCAAAAAAAGGCCACATTTTCAAATGTTTTGTAATTGTTTTAAAGATGTCCTCACTTTCCAAAGGTGTCCTGACTTCTAAAAATGGCTTTGCTTAGAAATAATGTTCAATAACTTCAAAAGTTGTCCTTATGTCCAAAAACGTCCTTACATTAGCAGTAATGTAGATTTCATTGACAGTTGAGTTCTTTTTCATCTCCTCTTAAATTCCGTCCACACTAAGCTCGCTGTAAGAACTAAGTCGGCATTTTCGACACCTAAACATTAAGCTTTTATAAAACAGTCTCCAGAGCAAACACATTTAAAAACACTGGCTTTGTGAAAACACAGTTGTGGGCTAACACATGTGATCACTTATTCTAACTATAGCTGTTATTTAAGCACAGGTTAACAGGTAGTATTTAAGATCCCCAATTAAATGACTATTGTATACTGGTTCAGTTTCCTAACAACTGAAAAATAACTGCGAATGTATCTGTATTAACAGCGTAAGTGAAAACAGACCGATATAGGAAAAGAAGAAATTTAGCTTTTTTCTTATTATTTAATTCTTATTTGTTTATTTCAGTGTGAATGGAGGTCTTTACAAATACAACTTGGAAACACTACTGTGTACGCACATCGTAGTCACATGTACAGTAGATGACATTTTCAAATTGAACCAGGTTAGTGGATGTAGTCTCAGAGGTCAGGACGTGTCACATGGATGTGCAAAAAGATACTCAGTGAAAGATCAAGCAAGTATGACTACGACCATGGTATTGATTGTTGGTGACATTTGCCTTTCAGTGACAGCTATATACAGTGATCCAGCTGATCAGACACAGATTCATCACCTGCTGTTCTAGTAGGAATCAGTGCTGGTGTCCCACATGCCTCACTGACAACATGTTCATTATGTCGGCTGGCAGAAGGCCCGGGCCAGAGATCGAAACCCTCAGTGCTGCGGTGAGTGAGTAAACACGCAAGCCAAAATAATACACACAGCAAGATGACACACAAACACACGTATTCATGCAAGAACAAAGACAAAACACACACCACCACACAGCCAGATCCCCACACA